ATTGTTGATCTTTTTTTGAAATGTCTATTAAATGTGTGTAACGCCGATCTATCCATAAAAGGATTTTTATCTATGCTTAAATAATTAGTATTATTAGTGTGTACGTGTCAATTGTATCACAAAACTTATTTTAAAATTTAGAAACATGCCCAACAAAAACAACAACAACAAAAGAAGTACCGACAATAATTGGGAAGAAGTAGCTTGGTAAGTGTTTTAAGGATGGTGGTGGCTATTGCCTGCCACTCATCGTCACTCTAGTTATTTAAAAAATTAAATGATTAATTTGAGAACTATTCTAAATTATTATTATCATCCCATTGAGACTAAGGCTCCTCACGAGCCAGCTCAAAGCCAAATGATTTACTAAGCCTACAAGCCAGCTCGTAAGCTGAATAAGTTATCTGACTCGCAAGTCAGCTCATGAGGAGCTTTAATTGAGTCTCATTAGTTTACTGTCACTAATAAACTTTGGAATACTTTTTTTGTCATATCTTAATAGTAGTCAAGCACAAAATAAGATTTACATCATGAATTGGATAATAAGAAAAGAAGATACAGTGAAAGGTAGGTCTTATTAAATGATAATTCACATATATAAAGATTAAAGTTCTATTTATTTATAGACAAGATGATGATTCCTCTTCCTTCTCCACATTACCATTGTCATCATTTGTAAGTAAATTACATAGTATCTTCAAATTGACAATATTAAATATTCGTTTTTAGTGAATTTGATTTCAAAATTTTTTTATATAGATTAAAGTAGATGATTTACTAGATGTTTTAAAGAAAACAAATTTACCTTCTTGCCCATTAGAGCCTTGTGAGCTCTATGATTACTTAAAAAAATTTTATGGTGATGAAGATAGTAATGAAGCTATTGGTCAAACCACATGTAAAGAAGCACAAAGAAAACCAGAATCTGACAATAGCTTCAATAACAATAATCCCAGATTTGTCCCTTTGGAAATCTCCAATAAAATTTTGGGATATGGGGCAAATGGTAGCATAGTGTATAAGGGGAGATTTGAAGGAAAAGATGTAGCAATAAAAAGGTTATTGCTTGATTATTACAAATTGGCACATCATGAAGTATCACTACTTCAAGAAAGTGATGAACATGCCAATATCATCAGATATTATTGCACTCAACAATGTGAAAATTTCTTTTATATTGCAATAGAACTTTGCGAAGGTTCTTGCAGGATATGATTGAAAGAAAATTCGCATATCAACATTTTAATCCTGAAAAAATGTTGTACCAAATAATTTCTGGTGTAAATCATTTACACTCCCTCAAATTGGTTCATCAAGATTTAAAGCCCCAGAATATTTTGGTCAAAACTTCCAAAAATGGGAAAATAAGATTGCTAATTTCAGATTTTGGATTATGTAAAAAATTGGAAGGATATTCAAGCAGTTTTAACATTAGCACCAACAATATTAGTGGCACACTTGGTTGGAGAGCTCCAGAATTATCATTACTACCACAACAACCACCAAATAATAGAATAACAAAAGCTGTTGACATTTTCTCAGCTGGCTGTTTATTCTATTATGTAATTTCTGGAGGTGAGCATCCATTTGGGGATCGATTTTCATTTCTGCAAAGTTACACGATTTTTGATCATTTTGAGGGGAAATTTTGGAAATTTTGGGGATATTTTTTGTAATATTTTGACTGTTTTGAATAAATATTCCCCCTATTTTGTATATTTTGTACCCCTTTAACGTTCTTTTCAGAAATTCTCTAATACCAAACCAATCACTTTTTTTTTATATACTGAATTCAGGATCGCAAGTAATTAGTTGAACAAAATCTGGTTTTGTAATCTGTTAAAGCTTTTTTATAATAATTTTTTTTACTTTTCTTTAATTCATATAGTAACTGAGTGAAGGAAACACTGGAAATAATAATTCATATATTTGTATTATATGCAACAATACATATAATTCAAAAGATAGTTTAAATCAACATGAAACACAAAAACATTCCAATTACCTTTAAATATTCTCTCTACTTCTGAATATTCTTTATTAGAATTTAAAAAATTATTAATTTTTAATATTAAAAAAAAATTGACCTTAAATCATAAAAGTTTAGGGAAAAAATCATTAACCATTCCATGTAGTGAAGTATGTTTCTAAATATTTTTAAAGATGAAATTCAAAGGTATTCACCTGCTAGGCGTTTTTATCTATGTTCATTCATGGGAGAAGAAGGTGATGAGAAGTTAAGGAATTTACTTGGTAACAAAGATTGGGCAATTAGATATTATGACAATAATCAATATGCTTACATGGATATTATTAATAATCAAATAAAAGTAGTATGGAAAGAAGTTGGGTTGGTAGAAGCAAATGGTAGTAGTATCTCTTCATCAAATATAATTATTAGTTTTTCAATAGATAAAGGAAGTCATTAAATTTTTTTTTTTTATTTATAATTATATTTATTATTTATATTTAATAAATTAAAAAACATTAATAATTATAATAATAATTATACTTAATACAGATATATATAATTATAAAAGATATTTATATAACATGACAAAAAAAATAAAATAAAATAAAAGATATTTATTTATATAACCAATTTCTATGTTTATTTAGTTTATTTATGTTTATTTAATTTATTTTTATTTTTCTAATATTTTTACTAATTGTTGGTATATTGTTATAATTATAATATAGGAGGCGATTCTCATGTTCTAAAATCTCAATTACAGCCTTTTTTCTCCCCTTTCCACCATCTTTCAAGGTTTTTCTAAAATATTTACTTCTTTGCATATGGTTTTTTTTTTCAACAGGACTGGATGTGAATGCCTTAACTCATTAATTTAATTAATAAAAGTTCATTATAGAATAAAATAGGTTAGAGTCTTAATTAAAATTTATAGGATCTTTTCCCAAAATGTAAAAAGATATTTTTAATAATTTTTATCATTCACTTCTCTTGCCTACTGTGAACTTTTGCGTTAATTATTAATAATAATTTTACATTTGGTGACGATCGACAGGAAACCTAAATTTTTGTTGTTTCAAAATTTTGTACCCCATTAGGTTGCGCAAATCGGTGGATATGTGTCGTATATTTTTTATATTTTGTGTACCCAAGTTTGAAATGTGTTGTAAATGTTATTTAGAGATCATCAGCAAAATTTTTGATTTGATTGGTTAATTTCCAATATGTAATAATCCAATTACAATTGAATTTCATTGAAACTGTACATGCAAGAAACCCTATATAAAAAAAAATGGACCGTTATTTGAATTTTAATTCCACAAATTTGCAACAGTGACAAAGCCCATTTTTCCTCTGCAATCTTTCCATGATTTTTCCATAAAAAAAATATGATACATTTCTGAAGAATACATGGAATTTCAAATCATGGATCAGTTTTTTTTACAGGGAAAATGCCAGCAAACAAATAAAATTGGTTAAAATGGATACTTATTTTAGTATTATTGTATTTAAAATATTGTGTATCCCGTGCAACCAATTGATTTGTGGAGTTGAATAATTCAAATTATTGAACGTTAGTAACTGACTGCTGTCTGATTCTCCTCCAAACATTGATGAGTGAAATGTATTTTGGTTATATGTTTGACAAATATTACTATTGTCTTGTTTAGTGAACTTCCAGCAAGAACATTTATTTCCATTATTAAAAGCGAAATGACAAGACATCTTTAAAAAAATGTGAAGGGACTCATTTTTTTTATTA